CCTTTTCTGATGAAGGGTCTAGGCCCGAAACGTCAGCCTCTCTGCTCCTATGATGCTGCTTGGCCTGCTGTGTTCATCCAGCCCTGCACCTTGTTGTCTCGGATTCTCCAGCATCTGCAGTTCCTACTATCTCTAGTCCTACTTCCCTGCACTGTTGATTGATCGTTTGATTGATTTTGGCCTATATGCCTCCAAACTTTTCCTATTCATGAACTTATCCAAATGCCTTTTAAATGCTGTAACCACCTGCATCCATCACTTTCTCTGGCAGTTCATTCCACACACAAACCACTCTCTGTATAAGAAAAGTTGCCCCTCATGTCCTTTTTAACTGAATCTCCTCTTACCTTAAAAATATGCTCCCTAGTTTTGAACTCCTCACCTTAGAGAAAAGACCCGTGTCATTCACCTTGTCTGTCTCCCTCATGATTTTATAAACCTTGAGAAGGTCACACTCAACCTCTTACACTCCAGTGAAAAAAGTCCCAGTTTTCTCAGTCCATATTTATATCTGAAACCCTCCATTCCAGGCAACATCCTGGTAAATCTTTTCTGAATCCTCACAAGTTTGATAACATACTTCCTACGACAGAGTGACCTGAATTGCACGTAGTACTCCAGAAGAGGCCTCATCAATGTCCTGTACAATGTCAACATGATGTCCCAACCCCTAAATTCAGTGGTCTGAGCAATGAAGGCAAGCGTGCTAAATGCCTTCTTAATAAGCCTATCTACCTGAGATGCAAATTTCAAAGACGTTTGTACTTTTTCTCACTGGATGGGTATGTGAATAGGAAGTGTTTTGTGGCTTATGGGCAAAATGTTGGCAAATGGGCCTAGGTCAGATTGGTGATGTCTGTTTCTGTGTTGTATGACTCTATGAATCTATAAAATGATGGAACATCTTAGAAAGTTACTTGACCCACTGTGTTCATCTTAGGTTTCTTGAAGAGCTGGCCAATTATTTTGAATTTTCCTCCCTTTTTCCCCCAACCCTGTGATACGTGTCCTTTCAAGTCATTGTCTCTTCTGATAGCTGCCCCTCTTCCCTTTCCTGCTGTTTCTGTCTGTCTTGTGCACCCTCTCCCTTTCCCATTCTTTTCCTTTCCCACTCTCGCCCTCCATAAGTCTCCTACCCATTCTCTCTCAGCAATCACTCGTCCATTCATTGTCCCATCAGTCACTCTTATTTCATTCACTCTTGTCCAATACTGGCCCGCCTACAAATGACCATCTCTGTCTCCTTCACGGTTCCCCAGTAACTCCTATAAATTAACCTCAGTAATTCATATCAACACTATTACCTTCTGTAAACCTGAGTGAGTTTAAAATTGAATAATTTGAACATACAATGGTGGCCACAGAAACAGAACTTGCTGGAAAAGCTCAGCAGACCTGGCAGGATCCCTGGAAAGAAAACAAAGTTAAAACATTTTGGGTACAGTGACCCTTCTTCAGAACAGTTCTGAAGAAAAGTCACTGGACCCAAAACGTTAACACTGTGCACTGATTGAAATGAGGGCCAGGTCGTTCTCATTGACCATGAGATCCCTGATTGGGACTGTTAACCTGTACCAATAAGGGAGTCTTGGCTGACAGATATAGACAGGGGATTCAGAGTCTCCTGAGTGCAGGAACTGCCTCCGGACTTGGAGCACAAAAAAAGAAAGGATAAATATCAGATTCAGAGAGTCTCCTCATTCTAGGGACTGACTCTGAGCTGGTTGGTCAGAGCCCATGTACTGTACACATGTAAATAAAGGGTGACTTGGTGACGGGATACCGGCCTGTGTGCAGTTATTTTCACTCTGCTTTCTCTGCACAGTTGCTGCCAGAACTGCTGAATTTGTCTATCAGTTTCTGATTTGCCCCGTTACCCAGCATTCCCAGCGCTGATGAATGTCCCCTAGCCGCGGCATTGACGATAACAGCGCATGCCCATTGCCTCACCCCCCCCCCCCCCCCCCAACAAAAAGGCCGGAGCATGCGCAGTTTGAGCGATCCCGAGGAGAAGCCGCTTTTTTTTCTCGGCTCCACAAAAGGTAACAATGAGGCAGAGCGGAGGAGGCGATGGACCGGGCGGTCGGACGCAGAGGCTTCGTAAACATTTTGTGCACCCGACGGACCCCGAAAGAGAAGACTAACGACCCCCTTTTGTTCCGAACGGTGCATGAGCTGCGAGCTTCCCCGCGGTGACAGGCCGCGGGTTTACGGCCGCCATCTTTGTAAGGGTCGTGGGGTCAGGGCGCGCGTGCGCGGGTTCCATGTTGTCGGCGTCAGCGGGCAGCAGGGCGCATGCGTGATCATCTCGGCGCAGACTGGGTTGATAACAGCGCTTTCACAAGGCGGCGAGGCGGGTGAAGCAATTACAAACAGCAAACTCCAAACGTGGTGACTTTTGTAAACCTTTTACAGGATAATAGAAGAGAAGTTGCAGATTGGAAGCTCAACCCAGGCACACTACGTCGAGATCTGACGGTGTCACTCCATTGCTTCCCCATTCAGCACTGGAGAAAGGTAAAGTTTCTGCAGTCCCACTGGACCGTGGGACTGCTGTCTCATTACAGAGAAGGTAACCATTGGTGCTGATTTTACCTGATGGTCACCATGCCTCAGGTGAGCGGAGAGGTTGGGAAGGAGAGTTCCTCACGGTAAGGAATACTGCGTACAATTCTGGTCTGCCTGCACTAGGAAGGGTGTTGTGAAACTTGAAAGTGTTCAGAAAAGATTTACGGGGACATTGCCACGTTCGGAGGATTTGAGCTATAGGGAGAGGCCGAACAGGCTGGGGCTGTTTCCCTGGAGCGTCGGAGGCTGAGGGGGTGCCCTTATAGAGATTTATAAAATCATGAAAGGAATGGATGGGGTGAGTAGACCAGGTCTTTTCCTTTTCCCTGATCCCCTGAACACAGGTGGGACGGTTAAAACTGAGAAAGCTCAGGAGATCACAATTGGAGCAATTGCAGATATCTCTGAGGGTTTGTTTTTAACTCATTCCTAGTGTGTGGGCCTTGTGAGGTCAGAGGAGCTTAGAGAGATAAGAGTGGTGTAAAACAGTGAAAAGGTTTGAAAGGAAGAAGAAGAAGGAATTAAAAACTTTAGATCAGCGAGCATGGTTAGGTGAGTGAGGTGGTTAACACTGCTGCCTCACAGCACCAGGGACCCAAGTTCATTTCCTCCTTAGGTAATTATAGACCAGTGAGCTTTACTTCGGTTGTGGATAAAGTGTTGGAAAGGATTATAAGAGATAGGATTTATAATCATCTAGAAAGGAATAATTTGATTAGGGATAGTCAACACGGTTTTGTGAAGGGTAGGTCGTGCCTCACAAACCTTATTGAGTTCTTCGAGAAGGTGACCAAACAGGTGGATGAGGGTAAAGCGGTTGATGTGGTTTATTTGGATTTCAGTAAAGCGTTTGATAAGGTTCCCCATGGTAGGCTATTG